ACTATTCTGAATCTCGGAAGGTAAACAGAAAAGCGGTCGCGTACAAGCTGTCCAGCTAAATAGCCTTACAAACAAGTTTTCATATGCCTATCACTGTCCTGCTGTACCGATCTGTGCCAGCTTTATTTCATATTTTATTGTGATCGTACAACAAAAAGAGTTTCACCAACTAGTTCTAAGAAGAGTCAATGCTTTTCTCTTCAAGTTGAAACTCAAACATATGCTAAGTACTGAGCAAGTGAAACGTTTCCATTTACTATATACGAGCATGATGAATTTGCGCATATCAGTATTTGTCTTTAAAATAGCTACTTTACTTTCCTCATTCATAAAGTCATGAAAGGCATAAGATACGTCGGTCACTATCCTTACGGAAGAGTCAATTCCTTATATCGATAGCCAACGGCTAGCAAAGAAAGAGAAGCTAGCAGAGTGTTGAAAACCAAAAAATTCATTCAGACCAAGAGAAAATGAATAATATATTTCTCAGTATAAATAGGTAAAAAAGAGTGAGAGGAGACTTGACTCTAAAGTATTTCTTATGCAGAAAACTGTCGAGATGTTACGAGATTGCTTGTTGATCGGCAAAAACTCTTGCCAATGGTGGAGGAAACAGAGTTTCGTATCTCATCTCAGTCAAATCCCATAGAATCAAATGTCAAACATTTTGCAATGACCTAATCACCACAAATGATTGGATTGCAACCCATTCACCACAAAATTGCTGTGAACGGGTTAAATTGCTTTACCCAAAATAATCGCAAGCATCTCACAATCTCAGTACCACATCCTCAAGCATTTAACACAGCCGTCGCCTGCAGTTTGATTCTTTAACGATAATCGTTTAAAAAAATCATCAACTTCAAAATTGCGACTCATCGCCACAAATTCTTCAAATGACCAGAATGCAGTGTTCTTTGTCCGTCAAAAAAGCAAATGCAAGAAATTTCCATAATTCCCTTGGCTGCACTCTAGCCCAGTTCGTTACAGATTTAGAAAACTCCTCAAGCTTGTGCTTCACGTTCTATACAGTACAGGAAAATTTCAAAAAGTAAAACAGCAGGAAGTCAATGCATAATTTGTAAGTCAAAGATTTGAGCCTTCTAACGATAAATCAAAGCCCTAAAAATAAAGAAGCTTTTGCTAAATATGAATGTTGAGGTTGCAAGAACGCGCTGAACTTTCGTGATATCCAAACATGGTGCTCCTAGAAACAATAAAGAAACTATAAATCTCGTCTGAAAGCTCACATTAGTTTTCTTTTTGAGATATTCTTGGTCAGTACATACGTACTATTACTTCAGGTAGGTTTGATTTACGATAGTATGGAAATCTAGAACCTAATGATGGGATATGTAGCAAAATAAATATTCAACGCGGTTCTATCAATTCGGAGATTACTACTTAATCAAAATTGATG